CCCACTTTTATATCTTCCTTGGACCATGGTGAATCAAATAACTATGGAAGTGCAGAACACAGTTAAAGTAATACTTGAAATTACCCATGTGTTATTTCTGTGGGGAAAAAATTTAGACATAGATTTTGATAAGTGACAGTTTGCATCACAAGTACTTAATTTCTCAAAAGAGCCAGATGTTTAATTTGTGTTGACCATAAAAATTCCATTTTCTGTCTTTGATAGTATTTCAAACTTTTCCTAATCTTATCATTCCACGTATCTTAAGTTCACCTGTGACATTGTTCAAATCACTTGGTCCTACAACCAAGGCAATACTGTCATGCTATTAACGCAGTGTAATTACTCTATCACTGCATAAATATTATGAATAAAATAAGCTCTTCATAACTAACTGAAAGTGAGGTCCTCGCTGTACTTCCATCCATCCCTGTGCTGCTGTTCTGGTGGGTAGCTGCCATCAGGTTGGCACCAGTCTTGGGGACTTTGTGTAGAACAGAATGCTCCTGTGCCACCTTCATGATTGTTTGTGTATTTTCTGTGATGAATCATTTATTTAGTTCTAACAAACCCCAAACACAGTCTACTGGGAAACCTTAGCTCTAGAAAGAGTCCTGTGCACTTGAATCACATTACATCTCATGTGGCAAAGATATGTTAGCAGGTCTAGTTCAAGTAGGAGCTTTTGAACACTATATCTCATTTGGTCTTAGTAGTATAGTCACTGTCATTTTCTTTGCTATTAGAAACTTAATGACATGCAAGAAGCACTCAGAACAATATGAAGTAATAATCCAGAAACTAACCTGCAAAAGAAATAGTCGTTTCTGTCTTCTGGTTGAGTCTGGGCTTGGGGATAGAGAAGGACAGTGTTTTTGAAGTGCTTGGTCAAAAGGGCTTCCGCCTGGAGACGCATTCGAGGTCGAAGCTTCCATCTACTCTTTCAGCTTTAGGTGGCTTAACATAAAACCCGGAGGGGTCTTTCCAGCATGCCTCAGTCTCTGGGGCTTGTTCTGTAGCCTTACACATCAATTGGACAATTCTGGTAAGACTGTTCTTAATGAGCCTTCGAAGGGGAACTTTTTAATCCTGTGAAATGTGAAAGGAAGATGGTACTCAATAAAGAAAGGAATTACCTATAAAACGTGCCAGATTCTACTTTTTAATATACAGATTGAGCCAGATGGTATGGCTTGTCTATCTCTTGTGTAACTGAAACCACAAACATCCACAACCGTCAAGTTAATGCTGACTCATAGTGCCCTGACTAGGGTGTCCGGGGCCCGGGGCCACAGAGATCCGTAGGAGCCAACAGTAGCATCTTTCTCCCATGGGGTAGCTGGTGGATTCAAACTACTGACGTGCGGCTAGCAGCCCACAGGGTCACCCACTACCCCCACCAGGATTCCCTTGTGTGCCTTAGAATGATTTGGTGAGAATGGAATAAGAAATGTTAAGATGAGAAATTAAGCAATATTGAAAGGAAAGAAAATAACATCGAGAAGCTGAGCCTTGGGATTTATACTTTGAGGAACATTGAAAGCTGGCACAGTTAAAGTTTACTTTAAGTTTACTAAAGTTTACGGGGTCACCTTGAATTGGTATCAACCCAGTCCCAGAGGAAACAGAACACTATGCCAACCCTTGAACTGTCAGAGCAGATTTCTAATGATCGCACATTATACCCAACACCCACATTCACCGATGCCAAGTGAAAGATCAAAGCAAAGACGGCAGCCTTCGTCTCTGAAACGGTCCAAAGACATCAGACAAACTTCAAGAAAAAAAAATCCTTTTGGTTTCCGAGCAGCCGATGAGTCGTGTGTGTGGAGCCGGTGCTCCTGGTGCTCCCGGTCCTCAGCCGAGCACATGCTGTCGTTGACAGCTGCCCTCCAGGCAGTTCAGGCTTTGTATCAACCCTGCCTTGCCCTTTGCCATCTTCACAATTGTTACCCTGTTCGAGCCCACTGCGGCCCACTGCGGCAGTTCATCTCCGTGACAGGCTTTCCTCCTTTCTCACCCCTTTTCCTTTACCATTTTCTTTCCGAGGGTCTAGTCTCTTCTGACAACACCTCCCAAGCCTACGAGAAACAGTCTCACCGTGCTCACTGCTACGGAGCGTTCGGGCTCTACTTCTTTCATATTTGTCCTGGCCGTCCACAATGGGCTCGGGGTTCTTTGCCAGCATGGCCATTCAAATGCAGCGATTCTCCTCTCTCACTTCCTTAGTCATTGTTCAACTTCCACACGCAGAGGAGGTGATGGGAAGCATCCTGGCTTGTCCTCCCAGTGACATGCTTGCTTTTGAACGCGTTGACGGGGTCTTGGGCTGTGAATTTGCCCAATGCCATATGCCACTCCATTTCTTTTCTGCTGCTTCCATGCGCTTTGATTGTGGCTCCACTCACTTGTGGACGAAACCCTCAGCAACTTCAAACTCCTCGCCCCTCGGTTTTCTTTTCTTTTTTTTTTGGATCGGCGTTTTCACTTTTATAGTTTTATTTTTTTAAATCATTTTATTGGGGGCTCTTATCACAATCCATCCATCCATCCATTGTGTCAAGCACATTTGTACATTTGTTGCCATCATCATTCTCAAAACATTTGCTTTCTACTTCAGTCCTTGCTATCAGCTCCTCATTTTTTCCCACCCTCCCTCCCTCATGAACCCTTGATAATCTATAAATTATTATTATTATTTTTTTATGTCTTACACTGACCGATGCCTCCCTTCACCTACTTTTCTGTTGTCCGTCCCCCAGGGAGGGGGGTTACATGTAGATCATTGTGATCAGCTCCCCCTTTCGTCCCCCAACTTCTCCTTCCTCCTGGTATCGCTCCTCTCATTATTGGTCTTGAGGGGACAAGGATGATTCTTGAAAGAAATACACTCAGTTTTACTGGGGGAAGAGATTTTTGGGAAAAAAATTAGTCCTTAAAATACTCTCCTTTATAAAATGCAGAATCTACTTCAGACCTATTGAATCAAAACCTGCATTTCAGTAAAGTCCCTGTGGCATTGGAGCATTGGTCTAGGACATGGTTCTTAATGGGGGTGGGTTTTGTGGGTTTTGTGCCCCACCCCTCCCAGACTCACCCCAGGAGACATTTGACAATAACTGGGGGCGATATTCGTGGTTGCCAGTGGTATCTTTTGGTCAAGGCCAGGGACATTGCTAACAGTCCTACAGTGCATAGGGTATCTCCTCACAGTAAATACGTACTCAGACCAAAATGTAGTCGTGTGGCGGTTAAGAACCTAGGTTCTCTAGGTAGTCTCTGAGAATCCACACTCATTTGAAGACCCCAGTGAAAACCAGGTGTGAGATGAGCTGGCGTCTGTTATAGTTTGGGTAGCACATGGGTTAAATGCTTGACTGTAACTAAGCGGTTAGGAGTTGGAACCCACCAACCGCTCTGTGAGGGAGAGAGACCTGGTGGTCGGCATCCAGCAAGATTACAGCCTTGGAAACGTGATTGGTTATTTCTACTCTGGTTGCTGTGAGTCAGAAGAGAGTCAGTACGAGTCAGAATTGAGTTGTTTTGTTTTCACCTTCGGAGCTGATTTGACAGGACCCAGAGGCCACGGCACTGTGAACCGTGCTGTTGATCTTCATGCACGGACCAAACGAAAGCAGCAGGACTATTTCCAGAACATTCAACCTACATAGGACTCCTTTCACAATGTGAACACAAGTGCCCCTAATTGGCTTTGTAGACGCAGATGTTCTTTTTCCTATGACTTTGAGCTCATTCATTTTTGCCCTCTAGGGATACCACCGCCCTGTGGCACCCGAGACCTATAGCTTGCCTAGTTACCTGAGCTGCTGACCCCTCCCCAGCCCCTTGTCCAGTATGACCTTTCTTTCTTCCTATTCCTCCAGCTGTGCGTGGCTCTGGGTTGCAGGAGCAGCCAGGGACCCACTAGGGCAGGGGTTCTCAACTTCCTAATGCCACGGCCCTTTCATACAGTTCCTCACATTGGGGTGACCCCCAACCATAAAATTATTTTCGTTGCTACTTCATCACTGTCATTTTGCTACTGCTATGAATCAGGCGACCTCTGTGAAAGGGTCGTTCGACCCCCAAAGGGGTCGCAACCCACAGGTTGAGAACCACTACACTAGGGGAACTTCAGTGGAAGGGAACATGTGCATGTTGTTACTGCGGGTTCTTGCATGAATTCTGACTCAGAATGACCCAGCGTGTGACAGAATGAAATGCTGCTTAGTATGTTGGAGCCCATTGTTGCAACCACTGTGTCAGTCCATCTTGGCCAAGGCCTTCCCCTTTGTTTGATGACCCTCTGCTTAACCAAGCCTGGTGTCCTTCTCCCGAGACTAATCCCTTCTGATGACATGTCCGTCTAAAGTATGAGATGAAGTCTTCCTGCCATCAATTCAATTCCCACTCACAGTGACCCTATACAGGGTTTCTGAGGCTAGACACCTTTATGGGAGCAGACAGCCACACTGTTCTCTCTTGGAGGGGCCGGCAAGTTGAAACGCTTAGCCTACGGCATCACTACTAAAGGTCCCTTAAAACTCTCCAGGAATGGTTTACAGGGTTTGGGTTATGTCACGTCGTTGTCGATAAAGTGGCAGCTCTCTTCCTATCCATCATCTCTCATCAGTATGTGGCATCTCTTTCAAATGGGAGAAGCCTGTAATGTAGTCTGTGGAAAATGGAGAGAGGGTGAGTGATTACAACTGCATCATCTCACCCAGGCCCAGGTGCCCTCTACAAGAAGTCTTCTCTGGCCCCATCCCCTCACCCCGTCTAAAAGGCAGCATGGCACGGTCATTTGTCACACTGTAGTTTATACCTCCCCTTCTTTACTGATAAGGCTAATTTCTAAGCATCTATGCTCTGATTGTAATTAGAAATTCCTACCTGAGAACACAATTATTACTGAAAGCTGGGTTGGTAGTAAGCCTCTTTGAACAAACACTTTGTGAGAGTGTCCGTGGAATGGAATACTCCTCACCACTGTGAACATTTCGCACTTTTCAAGCTCCATCGTCTTTGTTGAGTGTGTTATTTCAAAACTGTCTGTTAAACACAGCGGGTTTAAGATTTGTTTACTGTGTTTTTATGTAAATCATGTGTGCAGTATACGAGGGAGCTTCAGAAAGTTCATAGAGAAATCCCATTATATTTTCATTCCTTTTGCCCACAAACTTTTTGAAGCTCTTGTATACGGTGCTTGTTTGTTTGCTTGTTTTTTCAAATTGTGCAGTCCCCTCGTGTTAGTTTTCTGTATGTTGTGTGTGTGATTTCCCTGGGTGTGTTACATGCAAAAAAAAATAGACTTTCAGAACCTCACTAAAACAATCATAAAGGAATAGAAGTGCACCCCCCCCCCCCCCGAAATCAGTAGGACCCAGAGAAGAAAGGGGAAGACAGGGAAAGGCAGCAAAATTCTGGAAGCTGTGGAATCAAGAGCTGAGTGGTAGCTAGCATCAAGGATGCAGAGGAAGCTGGGTGCCAAGAGGCTGTAGTGTGAAAAGGCAGCAGGCGACTCTTGTTTGGTGTCCTGAGTCAGCTCTGACTGGTAGCGACCCTGTGTACAGTTGAACGAAACACTGCCCGAGCCGCCCTCCCCGTCGTTGCAGCCACTGCGTCAACCAGCTCATTGAGAATCTTCCTCTTTCTCTGCTGACCCTCTGCGATCGGAATGGAGCGGTCCAGCAACGCTGAAGCCAGGGAAGGGAGTAGGACTGAAGATAGGAAAATTGGTCGAGAGTCTGCAGTAGAAGCAGGGTCTTGGTTTCTTTCTCTGCTCTGTGCTGCGTGATAGCCCCTCTTTGCTACCCCCGTTGGAGATGCCGAGCAAGGGTGGTTCTTGTCTTGGGTGTTCTTGTACAGTTCATGTCGTGGTGAAGCACCTGGTGACATGGATGATGGGTGGACCTAAGGTCCTCATATTGCCCTGTGGGCCGCCTTCTTTCACTCCCTTCTCCTGCTCCGGTTTGAGAAGCCTGAGACCAGGGTCTTGTCCTGTTTGTAGTGGATGTGGGGGGAAAGAGTGGAAGATTTCTTCCGAGGGAGAAGCCAAGAGAACAGGCCTTCTACGGTGGTGATGGAGCGTTGAGGTTGCTGTCTTGTCACCTTAGAGAAAACCCCCATGTTCATGAGCAGAGCTGCTTCAGCCTGTCCATAAACAGCTAGCAGTTTGATTCTGCACTTTAAAACAGAAACAGCCCCACATCACGAGGCATCTGAGCATAGCCTCTAACATAGAAGTCAGTGACCAAAACGAATAGGCGGGGGGTGGGGGGGTGGGGGAAACAAAGATACTTAGAAAAAAACAGACAATGCAGGAAGCAGAAGAAAATGGCTGAAAAAATGATGCTCTTAGAGATAAAGGAAACTATTTCATTCTTGTAACAGGAAGACGATGACTGGAAAAAAAAAAAAGGCATTCCAAAGTACTCTTGAAGATTTAAATATGACCACAAAAATAAATAGCTGAAATCAAAAGCCCAGGTGGAAATGAAGTGGGTATGAAATCTTTCAAAAGTAGACTCTCAAGACAAAGAGATGAGAAAATAAAGAGGAGGAATACGAAAATTTGCACGACCCATTTGAAAGGTCTAACATATGAATAATAGAAGTTTCAGAAAGATGGAGCAGAGAACACAGGAGGGAGGGACGGGGAAGTCATCATCACCAGAACATTTCGTGAAGAAATATCCCAGAGCTGAAGATACCTTTCTCAGGATACAAGGGCTGAAGCACCATTGTGGGGTTTATTATGGAAGTCAACAGAGGTTCTAATTCAGGTGGGAAATACTCAGGTTACAGCTGCGTGATTTTAGGGTTGTTAATAAATACCCAAAGGGCATGCCACCCTCCTGTAAGCCTCCACCTGAAGTCACTCAGCTCCCCAAATTAAGCGCCCAGAGGCATGTAGCTCCACAAGTCAGCTTCCTGCCCCAGAGTCTCAGCTGTACTTGCTGTGTGGGTCGGGAAGCCCACTGCTCTGTCTCCTGCTCTGTTTGCTGCCACTGCTCCTCTGCAGTCAGAGCTGCCTCCCGGGGTGAGGAAGTTCACTATGCGGGGCTCAGGGTTCAGAGGATAAGCTCCACTCCGGTCTCTTGTTAGTGGTGGGATTCCCCTCTTCCTGCACCTGACATGGTTTACTTTGTATTTAACAGGGTGACGATCACAACGAATCCTGTTTACAATCCCTCAGAACTGAATCCCCTTCTCCGTAAATCCCCCTACTCTCTCTTATACCCAGACCCATCGGGAAAAGGTCATTTGGTGGAAGACTATGGCTATAAGGGCCACAGTAAATTACTCACTGCATTGCATCTCCTTTAGCCCCCTGTCCAGTTTTGGCTTGGTGGGGTACCTAAGGACAGTGCTCACTTCTTCTCATTGGTTAGTGCCAGAGTGCGAGTTAAATATTTGGATTATTACCTCTGCTTACGTGTGGAAGCTATTACATAAGCAAAGAAGTATAAATGCTGACTCTTAATGTAACTGAAAATGGTGATAAAATTAAAGTGGGAGAATGCGGGGAGGAAGTGTGTGTGAAAAAAGAGAGTGTTTTGTAGAGAGCAACATTTTTATTTTCCACACTAGGACATCTACAGCTGGTTTTATCTGAAACATGAAAGAAACCCAAAGCCGCAGAATCAAGCAACATGGGGTTAATAGCAGAAGAAAGAGCTAAGAAAGTTAGAAAGCAGTTTTTTCTATGATGTGACAATTATGTGTGTGTAGGTTAGGCATAGTGGGTGACTCACTGGCTGCTAATCCCTAGGCCAGTAGTTTGAAACCAGCAGCTGCTCTGCAGGAGAAAGCCGAGGCTTTCCCCTGCTGTGAAGATAGACAGCGTGGAAGCCACCGAGGCAGTTCTACTCTGCCCTGTAGGGTTGCTGTGAGGCAGCATCCACTCGATGGCAGTGAGTTTGGCTTGGTAAGTTGGGTGATTGGGTGCAGGGGATTTCGGTTTCTCATTCAATGCCTTGAAAAATGATTTGCCTTTAAAAATTCTGAAGGGCTACTGCTCAGAAAAAGAAAATTCAATTTCAAAAAGAATATGATTTCAAAACAACTTTCGCCATCTGAACAACTTCTTTTTCTTTTCCTCTAGTGGCAGTATGATCATCTGACGGCGACCTATCTTCTGCTTCTAGCCAAGAAGGCTCGGGGAAGACCAGTTCGTTTAAGGCTTCCTTCCTTTTCCTGCGGACTAGCCAGCAGGACTCCGTCCAGAGACGGCAAGGTAAATGCCGGTGTTACATGTGCCCTCCCTGGGAGTGCGCGGATACCCTCCTTTGCTAGTGTCAAGGAGCCTGAGAAGCAAGATAGTTTACGACTTCACATTTTTAAGGTGGAAAATGGGAACTAAGCTGAATGTTAATGTGGCATTTTTTTAAAAACCAGAGCTTTGGACTAGTCTTCCCAGTTCAGGTCTGGCTGATGACGAAAGCCAGGGTGGACCCAAATGTACAAAGCGTGAGTGGCTAGGACGCTAACTGGGATGGGTAACACGATGAGTCGTCAACATCGCGAATGACAGAAACACTCTCCCACTCAGAAAACAAGAGCGGCATGCCTGTTGCTTAGCAGCCAAGTCTCTTGACCAGTTGAGTTGAAAACTGTGCCCTGCTCAAAGAAGTGGCCTTCTGCACAGCTGTGACTGTGTGCTGTCTCCACTGGCTGGGAGTAAGGCACTCTCTTGCCTCAGGCTCCTGACGGGCTCGCTAGGCCTCTTCCCAACCTCCCACTTCAGGGCTTCAATCCTGGGGGTTTCTCCCTTTCTGGTTCTTGTTCTGCTTCACCCAAATTTCAAAAGTTTACGTCTCCTGGTTTCACCATGACTGAACTGGTTTGAACTAGTAGAGTCCTGGGAGGGGGGTGGTGGGAACCTACATGTCTCTTCTCCTGATTATTGTAGACAAATTTCAAGCCAAATAGGCTCAAAGGAAAGTAGATTTTACCTGTAAACCTATCTATGGATGATATCATTGACATTCTATTGTATATTTCTTCATTTTCTTTTAATGTGATTATTATTAATACAGTTGAACATGTTTTTAAAAGGACATTATTATTAAATTATAGATACTTTAAAAAATTGTTGGCAATAATATTGGTGACCAGCCCTGGTGACGTAGTTGTTAGACTACATGCTACCTGTGTAGTGGACCTTATGTCCCTGCCAGGCCTGCCTGTCTCTTGGGCACTTCCTTTTTCCCTTGTTGGTATTTTGCCTAAACTTGGAAGTGAAAGTATTAATGGAAGTGGCTGTTGTGTACAGAAATGTCCAAAATGAGATAATACTTTTCTTGGGGTAATTTTCTACTCTATTCTTAGCAGGCTGTGTTGAGCTGGTGAAGACGCCATCCATGGGTATATCTTCTGTCTATGGGCTCCATGAGTCATCCCATCACCCCATCATCCCTGCCCTCATCCCTAAATCCTTTATACACTTTCAGATTGAAGTAGCACCATTGGGCCCATTAAAAGACAAAATTCTGAATTATACTTCTGACCAAGCTAAATGAAGCAAGATATTAAGCATCTTTATCCGTAGAATAACCGCTTCATAAGGCACTAGAGATGGAGGCATTTTCTTGAGCTGCTGGATTTGGAAAAAAAAATTCTTTTATGTCTCTGTTGGTCCTGCTCTCAATTTCTCTGCTTATGTGATTTATAAAATATCCAAGTGGGGAAATCTGGGAAGATATTTGCTCTTTTTTTTTTTAATCGTTTTATTAGGGACTCATACAACTCTTATCACAATCCATACATACATCAATTGTGTAAAGCACATTTGTACATTCATTGCCCTCATCATTCTCAAAACATTTGCTCTCCACTTAAGCTCCTGGCATCAGCTCCTCATTTTCCCACCCGATATTTGCTCTTAATCTTTCATCTATTACATACTACATATTATATAGCATTTATCTAGTAATTTAGATTACTTGGGCATTTGTTATTGAGTCAGTTTTTAAATGAGATGAACATCTTAATGATAAGAAATAAAGCAGAAATCAAGGTTGAGGTTCTTTTCTGATCGTTAAGCAGGCCACGTTGTTCTCCCCTCAATCGTGTTGCCCCTTGTCTCTGGGGTGTTGTTTATGAGGAAGTAAGTAATCTTGAACTGTGCATCGATAGATTCTGCTTCTTGTGAAACAATACTATGAATTGATTCAAGAGTCACAGAAGACCCCAGCATCTTTACATCATTAAAATCTTCACGTCTTACACTAGGCTCTTGGGAAACATTTGAATAAGCAACAGTGCCTGCTCATTAACAACCAACTTTGAAGCAAGACATCTGTGTAGCTAACACTTCATCCTAGTAGGAGCGGGAGTGTGTTTGTGTGTAGGAGCTGTAGAGGAAAGGCCTGATTCCCATGGGTGATTCAAATGACTTATAATTGAGCTTAAGACGAAGAAAAAAACAATGAAAGAAGGAGCATAGAATTTAGGGTGAGTGAGATAAATGGAATCATCAAAAGATCAGGACCCAAATGGCCTTAGTCTTTTCTCTTGGCAACAAATGGACTTATTTTGGTTAGAATGAAGAATTCACGTAGGGGAAAAATTGAGGGAAGGAGTCAGTTGGAAGGGCAGGAAAGAGCTGGATTGTGAGCTAGAACTGTGAACTGCTGGATCAGAAGTGGGGACTTCAGGCTGGAGGTAATGAAGAACCCCTGAAGATGAGCATGATAGAGGCATGACGGATTTGGGAGGGTCGTCCGCAGTATGTAGGCTTGTTCAATGAGGGCTGGCATATGTGTGATTAGTAGTAGTGTTACAGTATTGATGACAGCCATCATCCATATCTCAATGTACTTTTCCCCATGAAGTCTAGACTAAACTTTCATATCATTCTCAGCCTAGCACTCTGTGCAGCCAGTTCTAATGGTGGTAGTTGGCAACCATGGAACTGCTCTCTCTGCTAGAAAGAGTAGAGCGATTGGTGGCAGATATCAGATTGTCTCTTTGAATAGCCAAACATGAGAGGATTTGTTCTTGAACTAGGGCAACGGCAATGAGACTGGAGAAAAAAAGAGTCAAGATGTAAGATATTCAAGTAAAATTGCCTGGTCAAGGAGTTGTTGAAGGAAATGGACAGAGGGAGACATTTAAAAATGCGGTGCACCCCATAGTATCCGGGTTTAGGATATAGCTACCATGTGCTTTGTTTCTGGAGTAGGGGAGAGTGAGGGAGATAACAAGTCTGGTGGGAGTATCAGAACAGGACCTTTCATAAAAGGAATTTATTTTTGTTAGGAATTCTAACCGCTCAGTGTATTTTTACAGTTCTTGTCAAGTTCTGTAGTGCTCCCTAAGGTTCGTAAGGAAGCACAGCGGGTCCGTGCTTACTTTACTTACTCAGAGGCCGCCCTGGTGATAATGATAAGCTAGGTAGCCCACCATATAGCATAAAACTCTTCAGAGACCCTCTTTCAAGAGTCAGAGACCTTCTTACCTGCTAATTGGCACACAGAGTTTTTGACTTTCTGCCCCTGTGTTGGATGGTGAGTCCTTGAATACACTATCTCTCATTCATTTCTCCTTTCAGTGTTTTGCCCTGTGCCTAGAATACATTGTTTGAAAGCTTGAATCATGCGGGGTTTTTTACCTAATTTATTCCATGCTTTTGAATGTGCTTTTGAACATACTTTTGAACAGCCAAAGAATCTGAGTCTGGAAGATATGACCAGAAGTGATGACAATTATGTGGTTGGAGGTATAAATCATGACTGGTGCGAAGAAAATTCGTCAGCAGGTGTGACCACTCCCCAAACACCACCGGTGGGTTATTTTGATGACTATTTAAAGCAGGATTTAGCATCTGAATTACTAAAGCATTTCAGAATCTAACGTGAAATTAAGTTTGTGCTTACATATTAAATGAATTTCTAAACCATTAAAGACCTTAATTTAAAAAAAATGAGTGAGTGATGAAACATGAATCCAGTACTCTAAGACAAAATCTTGGAAGTAACGGATTGATTCATGTTTCACCAATCTCTCATTGTGTCTGTCATGTATACTGTTGTATAACTAACTGTAACCGAAATCAAGATATCCAACAGTCTGGCCTGCACCCCCCTCCATTCCCTCATGCGGCTGTCATCAACCCTGACCCCACCCCAGCCCTCCAGCACCCAGTGTGTTGTCTCTCCTCTTGCTGCTCTTCCTTTCCTCGGCTCAGAGTTCACTGAGCATCTTGGATGTCTAGATGAATATTTTTTATCAAATTTGAGAAGGTTTTGCCATCCCCCCCCACCCACCCCCTTGAGGTTTTACCTTCATAAGTGGAGAATAATTTATTTTAACTCTATATACTTTTCACATCATAGATTTGATATTTTATATGGTAAGGCTATCAGGATTTACTAAGATTAATTTTTTGGGGGGGTGAGGTCGGTTGACAGTGAACACTTTTAGGTTAAGCCTTTTATTTGATTCTCATTTGGATAAAACAAGCAAATGGTTTTCCATTCACCAGTTCACACACATTTCGACTGTGGTGTCGTTTACACCTCCACAGGGTGCCGCCCTCGCCCCCTGTCTCCTTGTGCTCACCCCTTTCTGCCTCCCAAGCCTTCTCCCTGGGCGATGCTGCCTTTCGGAAGTCGTAGGATTCCTGAGCAGTGCAAGTCTTCCTGGTTCTGTCGCTCCCCTTAAAGGCCTCTCTGTTGTTCGGCTACTGTTAAGCCGCGGGAGTGTTTATTTCTAGTCCAGTGGTTCTCAACCTTCCTAAGGCCGCGACCCTTCCATACAGAGCCTCCTGTGGTGGTGACCCCAACCATAAAATTATTTTTGTTGCTACTTCATCACTGTCATTTTGCTGCTGTTATGAATCGGGCGACCCCTGTGAAAGGGTCGCTCAATGCCCAAAGGGGCCAAGACCCCCAGGTTGAGAACTGCTACTCTAGGGTGTCTAAAGGCTATAGTCTCAGGTAGACACTGGTTCATTGTATAAAAATGTTCACCTTCCCTTTCGGAGGGGAGCCCCTTGTGTATAGATTTTTAGTTTAACAATCATCTTTACTTTCCAAGTCTTTATTAGTAAATTTTATAATTTAGAGCAACTTCAGGTTTATAGAGAAATTGAGTAGAAAGTAGTCTTTTCATCATTGGAAGATACTAGTCTGCTTTTTCTTGATTCTTTGGTTGCTGTTGATAAGTCAGTGTCTGTAGAAGTATTCCTTTCTGGTTAGCCTGTCTTCTCTCTAGCTGTGTGTGTGTGTCTGCAGTTTGACTGTCGGAGTGTGTGTGTGTGTGTGTGTGTGTGTGTGTGTGTGTGTGTGTGTCTGCAGTTTGACTGTCGGAGGTCCTGCACTGTATAACTCCAGGGAGCAACAGATGTCTGTGTGGGTGGTGTCCTACAGAGTGATAGAAGCTTGTAAGTAGAGATGTGGATATTTCTTCTTGACATTTGTGCGGATGTGTGGTAAATACATATGTCGCAAACTGCCATTTCAGCTTTCTTCATGTATATCATTAATTCAGTGACATCAGTTACATTTATCATATTGTTCAACCATTACCATTATCTATTTCTAGTTTTAGATGCAGATTTCTTATTTATTCTGCTTGTGATTCATTATGCTTCCCATCCATAGATGAGGATTATTTCTTTAGTCAGTTATGGAAAGTTCTTTGACTTATTGCCACACTTTTCATTCTCTCTGGGACTTAGGACAGACATATCTTAGATTATCGCGCTTCTTTGTTGTCTTAGGCTGGGTCACTAGAGAAACCAAACCAGTAATGGTTATATATTTGTATGTATATAGAAATGTGAGTCAAGAAAACGGCTCATACGGTTGTAGAAATGGGCACATTCAGGTTCTAGGCCAATTGGTCAGGTGTTAGTGTGGCTGCTGGCTAATGCAGCAACTGTGGGGGCCAAGGAATCCAAGATTGGCAGGAAGACCCCAGGTTTAAGGCTGTCATTTGATCTCTTGACTGCTGCTTCCATGAGCATTGATTGTGGATCTAAGCAAGAGAAAGTCCTTGACAACTTCAACCTTTTCTCCATTTATTATGATGTTACCTATTGGTCTACTTCTGAAGATTTCAGTCTTCTTTACATTGAGTTGTAATCCATCCTGAAGGCTATAATCTTTGATCTTCAGCCGCAGGTGCTTCAAATCCTCCTCACTTTCAGCAAGCAAGGTGGTGTTATCTGCAGCTTGCAGGTTAATAAGCCTTCCCGGAGTGCGTTCTTCATGTACTCCAGCTTCTCTGGTTATTTACTCAGCACACAGATTGAATTAGTCTGGTGGGAGATACAACCCGGATGGACACACCCCAAATTCATATGAAGATTCTTCTGTGGTTACTTACAAGTTATTAAAGATTTCCCCCTTCTCCCCAAGGGCCAAGGCAAAGACAAACAAGCTTCCTTGCTGACTTCCTTTGTAGGCCACATTCAGGTTTAATTCATCCTTTCGTTTTAAGTTACAGTCTCTACTTGGGAGCTTGGAGCCTAACTTAGCATCTTGCCTGAGGCCCTCAGACTAATAAAATCTATGCTGCAGGTCATCAGAGAGGTGAGCTAGATGCTCGTGGGCAGCCAGCAGTTCCAGCCTTAACCACGTCTCTGTGACCATGTTCCTATTTTTAGTTCAGCATCTGAGGATTTTCCTTACAATCTCAACCGTCAATTTGAAAAGATTAAAAAACAATTAAAAAAAAAATTCACCATTTTTGTTAGACTATCTTAATGTTAGCCCCTTCATAAGCACTGCTGCAGCAGGAAGACTCCAAAAGTTTGTGGGAAAATTCCATTATCTTTTAAATCCATTTGTTCACCAACTTTTAAAAATCATTTCATATTAAAGACAAACCATCTAGGTTTGGCAAACACTGGTCACCCTTAATATTGCTTAGGTCGTGGGTGTGCTTGGTTCAGCGCTTGACCTGAGACATGCTGAGAATTACTGTCAATAGGCTAAAGTGCTTTAAATGTGCTAAAGAGACTGGAACATCTATTTTCAAATTTCCTGATATTGTCAGTGGTTTCTCTTAGTATTTCATTTTAATAAAAATAGTACAAGGTAATTTGCAAATGATTAAGCCTTGTTATAAAGAAATTGACATTTTTCTTCTTCACTGTGCTGTGTGCATTGCACCCTCCCACCCCTCCCACCCCCCTAGTTGGCCAACCACTGGACAGCATCGAATGATCTGGAATCTGAATCAACTCCAGGGTCATGCCGAGCATCTACAGATAAATTAAAAAACAAAGAGAATGTAAATACTCCTAAGTCTGCTGTGAAGAATGAAGAGGGCTTTGTGTTTCCAGAGCCTAAGACTCCCGTGAATAAGAACCAGCCTAAAAGGGGAATACTCACCACCCCAAATCGTTGCACGGCACCCTCAAAAGGTACTTGCTCCTACGAGAGAAAAGCCTGTGCCGCCCTTCCAGACATCCGTGTAAAGACAGCTCTGTATCGTACGCAAGGTTACTCATTCACAATCATGGAAGCCATCTCCTTTTGGACACCTTAGTGTGGTGGTTATTGGTCTCCCCCGGGCACGTTCTGTCTCTCACAGTGCCCTTTAAAGCACAGTGCCTAGAATTGAACCAAGTTTTCTAGGACTGTGTCTCACCAGGCAGTGCCGTGGGATTATCTGCTGTGTTAACTGTACAGTGCACAGGAGGTGCCGTATTTATTGTCTGGCACATACTAGGTATCGAATGCTGGGTATCCTCACTAAAAAAAGTTCACTTTATTGAATTGATTCTGACCCAGTGTAGGACAGAGTGGAATGGCTCCATACATTTCCGAGGCTGTCAGTCTTTACAGGAGCAGACAGCCCATCTTTCTCCCAGGGAGCGGCAGGTAGGCTTGCACCTTGTATCTTGTTGTCAACAGTCCACCGCTTAACCCACTGGGTCACCAGGACGTTTGTTGTAGGGGGTCATATTTGTTGAACGAAGGAATAATTAGAGCCTGAAGGAATTTTATTTACTGTGATCTGGCCTGATAAAGCCACCTGTTAAAACCACAAACTCAGAAAGCCATCCTCACGATTACTGAGTCAGTTCTGACTCACAGTGACTCGTGTTCCTGAGGCTTTCCATCTCTACAGGAGCAGACACCCTCATCTCTCCCTCGGAGTGACTGGTAGGTTTGAACTGCTAGCCTTGTACTTAGTAGACCAATGAATAGCCGACTACGCCAGCAAGAGCCCTAAGCTTTATCAGGCTTCTTACTCTTGTGTTAAGTCCCTAATGAACACAGCTCTGAAATGTTGTAGGTTACACCGCATCGAAACCCCTTTCTGCTATTACATTTCCAGTTTGCTAATGGTGCTCATACCCAAATTTAAGAGGTCACCTTATCTGCAAAGGTTTTAGGAGAAGAGATTTGTCGGACGTTCCATTATTTTAGTGATATTGCCTTGTTTTCAGAGTTAACATTTCTGAAAAGAAGGTGAGGTTAGGTGTGGTGTCTGGGGCAGCCTGTGGTGGTTAATGAAGAGTCAGGGAGATAACACCTGCATATAAACCCCAAATCTGGACTCACTGCCATCAGGCTGATTGCAAATCACAGTGACTTAGTGACCCTGTAAGATAGAGTAGAACGGCCCTTTTGGGTTTCCCAGAATGGAGAGCCTCATCTTTCTCATATGGAATGGTGGGTGGTTTTGAACTGCTGACCTTGTGGTTAGTAGCTCAACGTGTAATTTATTAAACCCCTAGGGCGGCCTTAATAGTAGTTGCTATTACTGGAAAGTCCTTTGTGAATCATAGAGTTGGGCAGGGAGCTAAGGGTTTGTTTGTTTTTTAAACAGGAGCAGACAGCCTCATCTTTTAGCAGACATGGAAGCTAAAAGCCCCTTCCATTATTGATTTTTTTGTGCTTCTTATATAAACTGATTATTCCGAAATGTGAATAATACTGAATTTGTAGTCTTAGGGGTATTGCCAACTTAACATATCGGGTCCCTGTGAAGATTGTGTTGGTCAAAAGCTTTGCCCGATTATTTGTTTCCTTGTTGGCTTAAACATAAGAGCTGCCCAAGGGAGCAAGTGGTCGAATCCCCAGTCCGTGGTGATGGAGTGGTTATCCACAGGTCCTCAGTTTGAAACCGCCGGCCCCTCCGAGGCAGAAAGACAGGGCTTTCTACTCCAGTAAACAGTCTCAGGAACTCATGGCAGTTCTACCCAGTGGGTTTGGTTTTGGTATTAGCACTTTGTGTTTGACTTTCACCATTAGTTGTTGTTTTTTTAGCATATACATTACTTTCATTTTTCTGGATCCTGTATAAGCCAATAAGATGCAGTTTGTTCAAGTGGAACTGTGTATAATTATAGGCACTTGTAGCATACAAAGTTTAAAACTGTTTTCATAGATATTTTTAAACTGAATTTTTCATTCTTGTGGAACCAGTGAAAATAGTGGTTAGTGGTCATAAACAAACCAAATCAAAATATTCAACCCTTTGTAAAAATTCAATATCATTATTATTATTTTGAACAAATGTCATTATCTGTCAAGGCTGTAAAGTTTCTAGATCTTGACCCACGAGACAATAGTAATCTTAGATGTTAATTCTAATTTGTTACAGACTCCCTGGGTGCAAATAACCCTATTTAGAATGAAAGGCAAAATTCTAGAACAAAGACCATAAGAAATCACCGGTACCTTTGTTGGGTCTTCACCGGTGTATTAGTCTAGGTACTTTGGAGAAACAAATCCACAGTGACTCATGTATAAGAGAGAGTTTTATACAAAGAAAATGTGCATCACGAAAACATCCCAACCCAATGCTGCCCAAGCCCACAAGTCCAACATTAACCCATTTACCCAACACCAGTCCACAAAGTCCTCCACCTCACAAAACAGAGGCAATGATGCCGACTGCAGGAGGAAAGCTGAGTCAGTGAACGAACAAGCATCTCAGCACTAGCAGGGGTCTCCACACGGCTGCTCCAGCACCCAGGGCTGCATCGGGATAGGTCCATGTAGCTTCTCCTTGGGGATGTCTTGTAGGACGTCAATCTTGCAAGCTGAAGCAGGGAACTGCTAAGGCAGCTGGCACCCGGTGCAACCATCACAAAACAAGAGACCCGAGAACTAGAAAGGCGAGGCTTTACCACCCATTTATCCGTCCGCCTTTCAACCAGCACCACATATGATTATCGGCCAGGCTGGCACAATTAACTAACTCAACCGAGAACCCGTCTCTGTCCAATATGACTTGAATAGAGCTATGCCTTGAGCCGACTCAATATATGTCAATGAAAGGCATGGATCGTGCCCTTGTATAAATACAGACCGATTTATAGAAAGGGAAATTGTTAATCATAAAATCTGTATACCTGTGATTGCTCTATTTAGATTATTCTGTTAAAGTATATGTTAAAATGATAAGCATGGCCTCAGTTTTTCTGTGAACAAAAAGAAGAGCCATATGTATAAAGCAAAATGATTTTGTTTTTATTATAAATGAGGTGGAAAATTTAAAAAGAGAATTTGAACCTTTAGCCCCACAGTCCAAGAGATTACAATATTCCTGAAGTCAATGACTGAGATGGTATCTCTATTATTGGTAGGAATTCCCAGCTACATATGGCTTATGTTTGTTATTTTTCTAATAGATGGAAACCAGTGCCTGAAAGAAACGCCAGTTACGACGCCAGTGACTCCCGGAGGGACACACAGCTTAATGACAGGTGTCATTAGCCCGGAGAGGCGGTGAGTGTTGCATCTAATGTAGCTTCTCTTGGTGACTCTGGGACTGAGTGTTTGAGGATGGTGTGTTGTCATTGCCTGCTTTCTTCATGGGACAGAATTATGAGCTACTCCACAGTGGGACTTCCCCCCGAACTTAAAATACAGCAGGGTGGGGAGAAAGGGGCTCTGGCCCCCACCATGTGGTTCCCTCTGGGAGGCCCATCTTTCTCTACTCTTCTGCCAGTGGGACGTAGGCATCTACTAATAGATGCAAACTGACAAAGAAAAACCACCGTCAAGTGGATTCTGACTCATGGTGACCCTGGAAGGCTGTGTGGAGTAGCCCCTGTGGGTTTATGAAGTGGCAAGTCTTCACAGGAGCACACAGCCTCAGTTTTCTTCTGTGGAGTGGTTGGTGGTTTCAAACTGCTGACCTTGTGGTTAGCAGCCCAATTCATAAGCTGCTGTGCCACCAGGGTTCTTGTACGAACAGAGATTTCTGAGAAAAATCATTTATTATCTTTACTATCTTGGGATTTCTAACCAATAAGGTTGCTGTGAGGCAGGATCAACGTGCCACGGCTGTGAGGGAATGAACAGGTAGCACTCCTACAATGGTAATGATGCTGAGTGATTTTTCTCAGAAACCCTACTCCTCTTGTGTGAGAAATTCTATAGACCAGATTAGATGACCTTCCTTGTCTCTTATAGTCCCCCCCACAATTAGAAGTAGAATGAAAATTCAATATCTAGATAGTATGGATTTAATTATTACTAACTCTCTCTGTGTGATAATGGATTGTGGTTATGTGGAAGCATGTCCTTTACTGGAGAGGTAAGCTGATGTGTTTCAAGGTAAAGTGTCATGGTATCTTCAACTGAAGACAATTCAGCAAATCCATATATTTAATGAATTTATTATCTATAGACAGAAAACAAATGTGGCAAAATATGTAGGTTCCAGGAAGATACATGGACATTCGCTGTCCTGTGCTTTCGGACAGTCTCTGCTTGACATTTTCTTAGACAAGTTGGAGGAGGGAATTGTTCTGCTGAGTGGCAGTCGGCTGCAGGCGAGGAAGGAGAATGGCTGCCACCCTAGTGATAGACAGCTGCGTCTCGCCCGTGGAGGCAGGAGGCCCTGGCACACCTGCATGAGGCACTCCCCAAAGGCAGCAAGGCCCAGGCTCTGTCTTTTTAAAGAAATGATGTATGCTGTTGAGAAGGTAGATAGCAAAACATACACCCACCTAACAGCATCTGCAGGTACAATTCAGCGACATGGGCCACATTTTTCCTGTTACGCAACCACTCACCCACCCCTGCCCCCGCCCCCGCATTGGGGTGTTTCCGCCCTTATTAACATAAACTCATTGTCCCTACGGTTCCTATCTACTCTTTCAAGTGGCTGTTATCAATTTGATTCCATATAGACAGTTCTTTAAAGAGCGTAATCCTCAAGACAGAGCTTCTTTTTTACTACTTACATTCAGTCTCAAGAACATGTCAGGGTGTTTAAAGGTTGAAAGATTATCTCTGGACAATAGTTCATCCCAGCCTTCATGGTGCTAGAAAACGGAGCTCATGAGAATTTCTGTTCTGCAAGCCTCCCTTTTAATCAGGATTCTTCTGTGAACAAAATGTTCTAGCAACCGCAGCTGGCCACCGTTCAGTTCTGGTCTTACGGCAAAGGAGGAGACAGCTGTACCTTTCTTCTGCCCCCTTTTTAAGGTGCCGCTCGGTGGAACTGGATCTCAACCACATGCACGTCGAGGAGACTCCAAAAAGAAAAGGCACCAAAGTGTTTGGCAGCCTCGAGAGGGGGCTGGATAAAGTGATCACCGTGCTTACCAGGAGCAAAAAGAAGGGCTCCGCCAAAGATGGACCAAGAAAATTAAAGGTAAATCAGCTCCACCGACAAGTGCCAGGAGACAACCCCCTCCGCCAGCAAGCCTCCCGCCCAAAGGCACCTCGCTCTTGCGCCCGGGGCTGGCGAGTCCACCACGACCCGCCTCAGTCTGTGGGCCAGGAAGCCAAGCCACCATCCCATCTTGCACTGCTCTCCAGATTGTGTTGCTGTTGACCCTGCATTGTTAAAGCGTTGTCTCTTGGGTCTAGGAGGTTCTCAGCACAGGGACTCAAAGTCCAAAGGACTCCCTTCCCTGTAGGCTCTTCTCCCCCCTCCACCTCTGTGGGATGGCTGTTTGTATAGGCAAGTGGCTCAGTCCTAATGCATAGATTTTATGTACCTTATTTGCATAATAATGGACCGATCCCCTCACAAGTGGCCCTGTCTATTTGTGTAATAAATGGAATTTTATGCCCACAGGGACTGGTTTCTTCACTGGGCAAAGGCAGCAAGTTTCCCCAAAGCACTTAGGGCAACTGTAGTGGTGCCTCTCCTAAGCTCTTTTCTTTTTTCCTTTCACAGAGCCAGGCAGGTTTTGTAGAACTGACGGCCTTGCGGTAGAAAATTAGCCTTTCCCCCCACCCCCCTTGGCTTCTTCTTTAAATGTCGTGAAAATACGCAAGCATTTGCCCTTTCAACAGTTCTTACATATACGGGTCAATGACATTGATCACACCCGTCGTGTGGGCAGCCCCTATCGAGTTCTGCATTATTCTGCTACTCTCGACATAAGCACAGTGCCTCCCTAGCAAAAACTCCCCTCCCCGCCTCCCATCGCCGCTGATTTCACCTAAGTGAGGTCCCACACTATTCGTCCCTTCGCGACTGACTTACGTACATGAGCACAATGTTGTCGAGATTCGTCCACCTTGTGCCGTGTGTGGAGATTGCATTTCTCGTTTCAGCTGAGTCGTATGCTATTGCGTGTCGGGGCCACATGTTTGTCCATTCTTCTGCTGATGGACACTGAGGGCTTATTTCCACCCTCCGAGTAGTAGGACAAGTGCTGTGGGGAGCGTCCAGGGGTGCACAGGTTTCTCTGGGGCAGTACCCAGGGATGGGTTGCTGAGTCCCAGGGTAGTTGCCTGTTCAGTCTTTGGAGGAACTGCTGAGCAGTTTCCCCAGTGGCCCTGCCATTCTGTGTTCCCACCAGCAGTAGCTGAGGCTCCAGCTCTCTCACACCCCCTCCAGCACCTCTGGGCCATTCTAATGAGAGTGAGGTGCTATCTCGTCGTGGCTTTGATTCGCCTCTCCATAATGGCTCATGGAAGAGCCCTGGTGGCACAGTGGCTAAGTGCTTGGCTTGGCTACTAACTGTAGGTTGGGAGTTCAAACTCACTAGCCACACTGGGAGAAAGATAAGGCAGTCTGTCTGCACAAACGTGACAGACTAGAAATCCCACCGGGCAGTTCCAGTCTGTCGTGTAGAGTCATTCTGCATTGGAATTGACTTTCTAACACTGGGTTTAGTGGTTAATTATGCCCCACCGTCTTATAATAAAAATTCATAAATTTATAAAAGAGTTGGAATAGTTACAAAGGACACTTTAATTCAACAACTTATTGTGATAAGATATATATAAATAAAGCATTTGCCATTTTAATCATATTAAGTGTACAATTCATTGACATAATTACATACTTTATGTTGAATAGCCATCACCACTTTCCATTTCCAAATGTTTTTAATAATCCTAAACAGAGATCTGTAAGCAATATTTTCCCATTTCCCCTCCCCTAAGCCTCTGCTCTCTAAATTGATACCTATCCTAGATATTTATTATCAACAGGATCATACATTTGTTTGTGTCTCACTTACTTATTTTCAATAGATATCCATGTTGTAGCACGTATCTATCGGACTTCATATTTCTGGAATATGAATTTTTCATTGAATGTATATATTTTCTTTATCCATCATCTACTGATGGACTCTAGGGTTGTTTCCATCTCTTGGGTGTTGCAATAATGCTGTGATGAACAGAGATGTACATTCAGGGCTGTCTTTGAGACCCTGCTTTTAAATTTTGGGTACAGACCTACGGAGTAGAAGACTAGTTTTTTTTTTTTTTAAGATAGCAAATCATAGGTAAATAAGCCCTCTTTAAGCAAGCAATCTGTAAAATTCTGATTTTAAATAGATACATTAGGATCCATTCTTTATTTTACAAATGGGATCAGTTACATCATGATTTTAAAATGTTCCGTTGACAGAACCAGGTGAGTTTGGTGAAAAGATCCAGGGATTGAGGGGGAGACAGAGGGAGGGCCTGTCATGGCAGTACAGTCACTCCCTCAGAACTTGGAGCTGGGGTTCTCCGACCATCATTTAATACTCATGTTCCTGATCTTTGCCATTTTGGAATATCATCTTCATGATTTTCTTTATATATATGTATGTATATATGATTTATGTATGCACACATATATGCATAGATATGATTTTCTTTTTAAAAAATCATTTTATTAGGGGCTCATACAACTCTTATCACAATCCATACACACATCCATTGTGTAAAGCGCATTTGTACATTCATTGCCCTCATCATTCTCAAAATATTTTCTCTACACTTAAACCCCTGGCATTAGGTCCTCATTTTTCCCCTCCCTCCCCACTCCCCCATCCGTCATGAGCCCTTGATAGTTTATAAATTGTTGTTTTGTCATATCTTGCCTGGTCCGATGTCTCTCTTCACCCACTTTTCTGTTGTCCGTCCCCCAGGGAGGAGGTCACATATAGTTCCTTGTAATCGGTTCCCTCTTTCCTACCCCCCTCTACCCTCCCAGTATCGCCACTCACACCACTGGTCCTGTAGGGCTCATCCGCCCTGGATTCCCTGTATTTTCAGTTCCTATCTGTACCAGTGCACATCCTCTGGTCTAGCCAGATTTGCAAGGTCAAATTCGAGTCATGGTAGTGGGAGCGGGGAGGAAACATTTAGGAACTAGAGGAAAGTTGTAGATATGATTTTCTTTACATTGACTGTCTTATTACAGAGGAAAACTATCGGTCTAATTGGTATGCGATAGACTATCCATATTGGAAACATAATTTGATGTGTTTTAACAGACACATGTGCACACATACTTGTGAGGCCATCACAGTCGAGATGACTAACCTTTCAAACTTACATTTAAAAGGATGTGATATGTCATGAGTTTATGTTTTCTAAATCAGATCATAAGAAAGACTGATGTAAATATTTGTTTATACCACCCAATGTATCTCCTCAGTGATGATGTATATTGCACTGTGGGAACCCTCCCTTCACAAGTTGTGTTTTTCCTTGGGCGTCGATGTTCCTAATTTGTAAAGTAAGGGAGTTGGTCTTTTCCAACCACAGCCTTTTGTGATTTTTTTTTTTCAAAGTTCTAAAACCGGAGAAACATAGACATTAAGCACTTGTTTGACAGGGAAGATACTACCAGGAAAGCAGTGGTTTTTGTCTGTGTGTGGACTAGTGTGTCTTCAGCTTCGACGAGAACAGTGTGTGACATAAAAGCGTTCAGTAAGTAGTTGTTGAACTAATAAATGAATGAGACTAATCAAGAATGAAAATAACAATCTGTATTGTGCTCTTAGTCAATGAGAAAAAAGTGTGACAGTGTTTTTTAAAAAGGAATAGCTCTTATACCAATTCCCTCACAATGTCATAGACTCAGCTCCGGGAACCAATCATGACCTTTGGCCATGGCGCATGTTCTGTCTCTCTCTAGCCACTTGGAACGAGGGCAGATCTCACAGGGTTAAAAGCCCGCTGAATAGACAGACAGCAGACATACGTTTGGAAGTCCACGTGCCACCCTCACTTTCACTTGCTTGTTCTCCTCTTGTGGCATCCGTTCTCCACGGAGAGGACTCACAGAATTCATGGAGAGTGCTGGTCGTCAGGTTATAGATTTATTACAGCAAAATCGGGATTGTTCAAAGGAAGAGATGCAGGAGTCAGGTCTGGGAAGCTACCAACCTGGAGCTTCCGTGTCTCAAAGAGGGGCACGTTGGCCTTCCTTTGCCAACCAGCAAGGTCCCTGAGCCTTCGGGTTCGGGCTTTTATTAGCCAGTCCTGCATCTCTGCTAAATCCTGGATGTCGACTTCCCAGGTGAGCCTTGTGGTTTGGCCAGCTCCCATTGCCAGCACACATCCTGGAAGCCCCAGACCAAATCACCCCCAGCACTCCCAGGATTTCTTTTCAGGAACCAAGGACAAAGGCCACCTTACTTTGGGTAAACCTAAACTCTTTCTTCCACAGGTAGGGTGATCTTGTGTCAATGTAAAGATTTCCCTCTCACCCTTTCTCTCTTTAAGCTTCACTATAATGTGACTACTACCAGATTAGTGAATCCAGATCAACTCCTGAATGAAATCATGTCTGTTCTTCCCAAGAAGCATGTCGACTTTGTACAGAAAGGGTAAGACGCACATTAGCATGATGTTGCATTTATTACTTGATGTCTTTTAGGCTCTCAGAACATATGGGTGTTTTTGTTGCTTTGTGGAAATATATATATTTCTTCCACTGCATTCTTAAAAGCTTTTAGGTGGGTGTAATTGTTGACAACATGTTCCCTTGCTGTATACCATTTCTTTAAGCACCTACACGGTTTACCACTTTCAGAATTACACTGTGCATTTCAAAATAGGAAAGTTTGAATTTTTCCAGCTTTCATTTAAGTCCTCTATTTTCTACGTTACAATATTACAATAATATTTATAAATGGTAATCTAAATTTATAAGATACCTCAAACCATTATGGGATTACGTAGAACAGGGGTCCTCAAACTTTTTTTTTTTTTTTTCCTTTTTCGTTTTGTCCTCAAACTTTTTAAACAGCGGGCTAGTTCACTGTCCCTCAGACCCATTGGAGGGCCGGACTATAGTTTAAAAAAAAAACTATGAACAAATTCCTATGCACACTGCACATATCTTACTTTGAAGTAACAAACAAAATGGGGCAAAAACACCTGGCGGGCCGGATAAATATCCTTGGCGGGCCATAGTTTGAGGACCCCTGACATTGAATCTTTTCTTTTCCCTTTACTGAGATACAATTTTGCACGTTGGGTTTTAGGTACTTTAGGGAGTTATTTTATCTTAACTCTTTTCTGTTGTTGAGGGAAATGGCATCTTGCTTACTCCCTCAGGGACCGAATAGCTAGACTTCTGGCTACTCAGTTCTGCCTCCTTAAAATTTCCTTACTAAAGTAGCACGCTAGATTGGACAGAAATATTTAAATAGGATAATCAATATAGAGCAAGATTTTGAAAAGCAGTCTTTATAAACGTAGCTGACTTTTCACTATTGTATGTAAATATTGGCAGCGGGCCTTCTGGGAACTTGGCTTTCTTCTGTAGGTATCATGAAAACGCATCTCTAAAGCCCTCTGACAGTCTTCATCTTGAGCGTGACCCCATTCCAGACCTCTGGCCTCTAACCTCTAGATCAGAAGCTAGCCTCTCCATTATCTGTTCCTTCTTCATGTACTCTGTCAGGAGATGGCCAACTGGTCGTTGGCCATTCATTTGTTCTGAATTCCTGATTAACCAGAAAATTTCTTTCTTGACCCGCCTACCCTTTTTCTGATTTCCCCTCTGTGTGACAAAGCAGAAAGACAAAAGCGTTTCACAGATGGGATGTTACTAATCGTGATTATGGTCCATTGTTCTTTTTCCAGGCAGAAGGAATTGCCTTTGTCTTCTTCCATATGTCTCCATTGCGCTATGCTTCATCTTTCCATTAGGAGCCTTTAACTGCGGGGAATCCTTTTCACCTTGCCGATACTGACTGATTATTTTTAAGATGCCAAACTCCCTTTACCCAAACACATAACTAAGTATGAAAATGAATGCAGCTGCTTCTCACTTATCTACATGATTGAGTTGCAAAAAACCAGGTGGTTATGTGAAAATGGATGGACCATGAATATGACAATGATCACATCTAACATAAAATGAGGCTGAGTATATGCTGCACAACTTCCCCCGGTTAAATCATTATTTGGACATTTCGGTTATTGTTACCTTTTGCCTATTATGTAGCATTCTGCAGTGACCGTTGATGTACGTTTCTGTTTACATTCCTGGTTTCACTTCTGGGTGATACCTGGGCTTGGTCATTCTACCAAACCCCTGAGAGTCAGAGCGAGCCCAGCCAAGCTGACACCTAGCCTTCACCACCAGGCAAAGTTCCTGCCAGACCTGTGCTGTTAATGCATGGTTGCCTAACAGATTTTGTTGACTAGTGATCTAAACACAAAATGCCAGCCAGTGAGCTAGTAATCGGGGAATGGGGTAGGTGTAGTTTGTGAAGTCCCATAGTATTGTATAGTAGGTACAAAGTCCCTTCTCCACTCTCCGTAGGACTTAAACAATGCTCCTCGCATGGTTTGTGAAGATCAGAAAGAAGTCAACCGCACTCTTAAAAATACTGGGAACTAATTAGCCAACTAATTGACATGAACTCATTTGATACAACTTTTCAGGAACCTATGCCTATTTTAAAAAATAAGTTTTAAGCTTCCCTTAAGTTGGATCTTTTCATTGTCAGAGCAGGAACATGATTGTTCTAATTACAAATGGCATACGTTTCAACCAAGGTCATAGACCACCTCCTTGGGCTTTCTGCACATGATCTTAGCCAAGAGGCCGAGAAGCAACTGGGCTTTCTGTTATAACCTTGCCCTAAAGTAATGATCACGACCATTTAGTGTAGTAGAAAACTCTCAGAATTATGTGCCCTTCTGGTGACTTCGGCTTTAGTTCGAAGACAGAAGTTTCCGGTGAGGTGCACACACACACTCACACTTACAATCTTCCCTGCACCTTCCTTTGTTGTGCTCGCTGTGGGAATGGTGTCAGGTTCACAGAGCAGACCTCTGAGAGGCTGCACACAGGGTGCCAGGGCCTCCTTGAGCACGACGGGCATGCGTAGGTATGAAAGATCGGCTCTTCTTTGGAGCCAGGGAGAGTTCTGGTAAGGCCTTTCATCCTTATTCTTCCTTGGGATCCCAGTTCAGCTGCTGGGTAAACATCCGTCATCCAGCATCACTAAAACCTAGCTAGGGCATTTGGAAAGTATAGGCAGTAATACATTGCTGAATAAGGCTCGTTTCCCCACCCCCACCCGACCCCCAACTGGCCTCCTACAGACTTAAAAACATCTTGTATTCTACAGGGTATTTGTGGGTTCCCCACTAACTGGCTTCTTATCTTTTTTCCCCCCACAGCTATACACTGAAGTGTAAAACACAGTCAGATTTTGGCAAAGTGACAATGCAGTTTGAACTAGAAGTGTGCCAGCTTCAGAAGCCCGATGTGGTGGGTATCAGGAGGCAGCGGCTCAAGGGCGATGCCTGGGTTTACAAGAGATTAGTGGAAGACATCCTATCTAGCTGCCAGGTGTGATTGATGGGCAGTTTCCATCCTGCTGCATGGGTGTGGGTGTGACACGGCCCAAGTGGAGACTGGTGTGCTTGGTTTGATTTTCAAGCCCATTGGAACTCCAAGCTCGTTTCCAAAGAGCCGTTTTGAAGCCTAGTATCGCTTTGTTGTTTAACAGAAGATATTGTCTTGTGGATGAATTTAAGGCAAAACCATCTGCCATTATCTGTTCCTGTCCTTTTTAATCATGTGGCTGTGTATATTAATAACTGTTGACGTTCCTAGACTCACTTCCTTATGTGAATGAAGGCACTTAACTATGTCTTCTTTTCATGTGTAATTTCTTTCTGAAATAAAACCATTTGTGAATATAGCAGGCTTATCCCCTTCTTTTTATTTGCTTGTGATACAAATAAAACCTCGAATGGCTTCCTGACTATTAAGTAGAGACAATTTGGAGTGTTTTATCTGTTATCAAATATGCCTTGGGCAGAAAAACAGATAAGAATTCATTTGCATAATTTTTCCTGTCTCTGATTTAAGTGGGATTTATTGAGATCGTTAACTAAGTCACAGCTGTGGTTACTAGAGTTAAACAACACATTTAATATGTTGAATAAAAGTATTGACTTCAGTAAGTGTGTTCGGTCAACAATGATAAGTATCTGAACTATGAACCCCATGAAATGTTACTTTATGGTAATTTTTCCTAAATCTCAATGTTGGCCTCAAATTTGTTCTTTTATTTCATTTTATTGGTCTCTAAAGGCCAGAACTCAAGTTATATATGTATGGATTTTACCAATTAAGCTAGTTGGGGGAAAAACATAGCACTAGTTCTAGTCAGTAGTGGGGGAGCGTTTTGTCATTCATTTATTCAATAAATATTTACTAAGTGTTTACAAGCATTAGGTCCTGGGGCTAAAGATGACGTTGTCTAGTAAACACGGGGAGCTCAGCGTCTATTAGCAGGGGCAGAATGTGTGTAGCCCGGAGGGGTGATCGGCTTTGCCTGGAGGAGGAGTAAGGGATAATTTCCTGAAGAAGAAAGCATTTCAGAAGGTCCTGAAGGACATAGAAGTTCACCAGAAAGAGAAGAGAAAGGAGGGTATGCCTGTCAGCCAGGTGTATGTGCAAAGGTATGGAGTGATGCAACGGGGTGGTGTCTCTGGGATGGAGGAACCACGGAAGACATGAGAGTTCAAGTTTAACTGGAAGCACTTTGTGAAGGCACTTGAATGTCCTAAGTGGTTTTGATAGAGAGCTATCAAAGAAATTGGTGTTTTTTTATCAACCTCATTGAGACATAATTCACATACAATTCATCCTGTAAAGTGTGGGATTCGGTGGTTTTTAGGATATGAACATCACCACAATCTAAACTGAGAACACTTTTTGTGTGAGAACATCTCTAGGGAAGGAAAAGCAGAGAAATGAAGATCGAGAAAATGGCTCACAGTTGTAAAAGTGGGCAAGGCCAGTCTGAGCCCAAGTGTAGGGGTCAGATGCTATGCTGGACGCTTCTCTCACATAGCTTTGGGGAATTGATGCATCCAAGATTGACAGGAATACCACAGGCTGGTGGCTGCAAAGGCAAATGAATTCAAGGTTTGCAGGTTAGATGGCTGGCTGCTGATGGCTTGCAGGATCAGCAGGCAACATGGCAGGCCATTGGCTCAAGTTCAAAGAATGGGAGGTCAAAAAGCCAGATACAGAATCCAGACCCAGCAAAAAGCAAGTGTTTCCACAGTGTCCACTTGTGGCAGTTACATAATCCACAGTCAATTTGAGACTTAAAAGTGAAGGGGTGGAGTCTAGCCTATCAATTGGGTCATAGCCAATGAGGCCTCTGTGGGCATGGCCTTTTCCTGAGGATTCGGGGAATTCCTGTATTCCTCCTTGGAGGCAGGAGACACTCTTGGCTCATTCCCTGCCAGTGTTGAGATGCTTACACTGCCACTGGATCCACAAGGCTTTCCACCTACTGGCCGGTGATCGTCCTGCATTTGGCATCATTGCATGTGCTTCGCGAGTCTGAAGAGGACTTTATAGATTGATATCGGACATATGGGCTAATATCGGAGTGGGCTGGGATGTTTTCTCAATATTCAATTGCTCTTGTATATAAAGCTCTTTCCTATACACATAGGAGTGTCTATGAATTTGTTTCTCTAGTCTACCCAGACGAACACACCACTATGTAGGGAAGTAGCCACATCCCCAAGGAAACGCCCTTTCAGTTGCATCAAGGCTGTGATATCACTGAGTGAGTGAGAGCGCTTACATCTGCTGGGTTACTCCTAGCAGATCCTCTTCGGAGTCGATTATGTTCGCATCATGGGGACTGACTAAGTCTTCAACTGCCAAACCACAGCCAAGCTGACACAAGACCTAACAATTTTCATTACCCCAAAGAAACCCCAAACCATCGAAGCACTTCATAGTGTCTCTGGGCTGCAAATCCCGACAGAAGCAGATTGCCTCACCTTCCTTAGCAGCTGAGGGTTCAAACTACCGACTTTACAGTTAGCAGCCCAATACCCACCCCAAAGTACCAGCAGGGCTTAAACAACTCCACTCCCCCTGCCCCCTACCCCGTAGCTATTGAATAGTCACTGCCCATTGCTCCCTCTGTGTATCCCTCCTCCGACTTCCTATTCTAGGCATCTCATAAAGATGGGATAATGCAACCTGTGGCCATTTGTATCTGGCTTCTGTTTTGCCTGGCATTTCCAGTTCATTCATAATATAGCTTGTGTTAGTATTTCTTTTTTTTTTTTAAACCAGATAGTACAATATACCACCTTTTGTCAGTTCCACTTTTGGGCAATTATGATGAATGCTGTTGTGAACATTTGTGTGCTATTCTTTGGGTGAACATGTGTTCCATACTCTCAGTGTATGCCTACCCTGTTTCCCCGAAAATAAGACAATGTCTTACATTAACTTTTGCTCCCAAAGATGCGCTAGGTCTTATTTTCAGGAGATGTCTTATTTTTCCATGAAGAAGAATATGGTACACATTTATTGTTGAACAACAAAAAAGGAAATTTATTACCTGTATACGGTACGGTAGTAGTTGTCATCACAAACCAGCATAACCAGACAAACTGTGAATCCTACAGTATCAAGAATTTCTTGTTACTACCATTATTTCCATGTACAACAATCTATGGTACATTTACTCATTTGATGACAGTCATGTCATCATCTTCTGGAACATCATAACAATCCAAACCCTGAATTTCCTGGTGACTCCATTTCTTTCAGAATCAGTGGACCGAATCTCTCATGTTTAGCAACAGCACTGTCCGTAAATGAGTACTTCTTGTCAAGGTAGTCTGCTCGTAGTGCATTTGCAATGCAACTGCCAGTGATTTTCTCCCATGAATTCTTCACCCAAGTCACAACCTCTTGCAGTTTAGGTTTCACAAAGTTTCCACGTTGATTTCTCTCCATTCTATTTTCAATGTAGTCATTAATTTCCATGCGCAAATTGCCCTTGAATGGCTTGTTTATTTCAATATCAAGAGTCTGGAGATAGGCCGTCATTCCTGCGGGAATCATTATTTGATCTATTTTTCTTTCGTGAAGAAATGTCTTCATGTCTTTAGCGCCATAAGTGCTGGCTGCATCCCAGACTAGCAGACATCTTTGGCTCCCTCACATAACAAGTGGCAGCATTAAATCGACCCACTTCCTTATAACTGTTTGGCCCAGGCTTTTTCAGTTTCAAGAATAAAAATGCCCAAAACATGTTCAATCTTTTCCTTCTTTCCCTTAGAAATGATTAAAGGTGGGATTTTAGTGCCATCAGATGAATTGCCAAAAGACAGGAAACACGTGCACTTTCGTAAGCAGCGGAGGGAATGTACACTGAGGAGGCACCCCACTGTTCAATTGTTTGAGATGATTGGCCCATAAACACTGCAGTTTCATTCATAGTAATCATGTTGGAAAGATTGTATTTAGAGAAGTCAGCATCACAATAAAGGATTGAATGCAAGTGCTCGCTTAATAACTTGAGCATCTTCCAGTCTAGACAATGTTGTGGATCTTCCTAAAGAGAGTTCACTTTGCTGAAGGAAATTATCCAGCCAGTGTTGTGATGCTTTGAAGTCCTTGGGGGCTATGTCAAACTGTGGTGCCATTGCAAGGGCAAATTCTTGAATCTGAGCCCTATTTACAACCAACGCCTTTGCTCTCCTGTCAACAACCCATTCACAGATCAGGTCTTCCAGCTTGGTAAACAATGGTTGCCAACTTGATCCACACTTACACTTTTTAGCATTTCCTTTGTCCACTTGTTCAATGAGGTTACCATACTCTGCTCGCCATTTT